ACAACGTTTAGTTCATCTGGAGTGGAATTGAAAAGGCCGCTTGCTCATGAATTCATAAATGGTTTCAACTATGCGATTATGGCTACTTTTAAATGTAATCACGACATTCAGCTACTCTTAGGTGGGAAAGATGCAACTGAGAGAATACACTATTGCTGTAAATATGTGACCAAACAGCAGAAGCAGCTCGATTCAACAATAGCAGTCGCATTGGCTGCGCTGAAGAGACGGCAAGAAAAAGAAAATGCGGAGATGGAGACTTTACCGATTCTAGGAGACCAAGAGCGAATTTCATTTGCTCGAAGACGTGTTGCATCAATTGCCTATAGTATTACCAGTCGTCAAGAAATTGCAGGGCCACTAGCAGCACTGTATTTGCTGCGAGGATCGTGTTGCTACTCTAGTTCATCGTGCAGTTCGATTCCACTGAAAGATATTGTCAGGCAACTGGAAAGTTCAGATAGCTACACGTGTTACCTTGTCAACGAAAGTGTTGACACACCGCGATTTCAAGCTGTTTGCTTTCTAGATGATTACATTTATCGTCCGGAGCAGCTCAAGCACATCAATGTGTACGAGTTTGCGATGCGCTTTTTTCGAAAAAAAAGACGAGCAAAGTTTTCAATCCTCGATGCGATTTCTGCCAAATCACCCGCTTTCACGCACTCACAGCGTTGGACGACACAACAACGAAGTAGTTCCTTGCGTTTATGGATACCGAATGCCATACATCGATACCGAATCATCGCGGGAATTGCAGTGCAAGCGTGCGAAGTTATCTCTGATACTATTCAAGCCATTTCGTTCTCTGGTCGAATTGCTTGGCACCCCAAACTGTTCGGACGATGCGTGGCTACAAGCTTACACAATGTGGGAAGGAGATCGAAGTGAATTTGTGAAGACGATCATGAACAATATGAGTGATTATTACTATGGCCTCAGTCGTGCGCAAATGCAAGCTGTGCATATCTCAAACCAGGGTCTCAGGAGTAGTCATCGTGAACAGGGTGACGACGGAAGTTCTAGTGATGAGGAAAATGATGCACTATTTGGTGAAGGAGACCCGTTTCTCGGAGACGATACAACACCAGATGACACCTATGTCGAGCTTTGGAGCGGTGACGATACAAAAGCTAGTATTCTTGAAAGTGAGCTGATAAATCCTGCAATATGTCCAACAACTGCGGCGCCGAATAAAAACATATCTCACATCTTGGTTGTGTTTAAT